TTTTGTGGGAGCAGTTGGATGTAACGAACATGCTTCGGAAGATTGATTATAGTGTCGTGTTTCGTTTGAAATCGTAAATAAATGACTTTTGGGAAGAAGCCAACCGCCCTAACTAATATAGAAGACGTTTGCATGTGTCAAGGAAAACTGTTTAAGGGAATCAATACAGTGTAGGCATGGTTATATGAATGTGTATTTCATAGTTAGATGCATTGCTCTTTGGAGCAGCGAATCTATCTCCAAGAGGATGCAAGTACAAAAAGCTTGAATGCTGGAACATTGAGACATGCGATCGTCATTATAGATGCGTGCGGTTACAAAACATCCACTTGTGGTTACAAAACATCCACTTGCGGTTACAAAATATCCACTTGTGGTTACAAAACATCCACTTGTGGTTACAGAACATCCACTTGCGGTTACAAAACATCCACTTGCGGTTACAAAAATGATTACTGATCCTACTTCTCATGATGATGTTGACATTAATCACAATGACGAACACGACGAGGACGATGATGATGATGATGATGACAAAGAGCGCTAATATCCAGTAAACTTCTGCCCAAAAGTGCTTTTTGAGTGCGAGTAAAATCATGACAGGCAAATCGATCAAGTCTCCATACTGCACAGACCTGTTCAAAAAGCTGTGTTTTCAGTTCTCTCTCAAAGATTGAACGTTCCGGAATTAGCGATTGGTTCACAAACATAGCCCTGCTGTGTTATACCTCTTGTCTTATCGTGTGCATATTATACTTATTGTCCTATAAAGATTACGAACATATTGTGTGGTTCCCAAGATGGATTCCTGGGCTGTACCTAAAAGTTGAGTAAAACTCACATTCTCGCGCTCGTCGTGGGCAGCATGAACATCATGGACGTTGTTATCAGGAAGTGGTAGTTTGTAGCAAGATATGACCAAATACAGATTACTGTCCAAGACCGTTCGTTTGCCTCTCGGTTAGTAGTTCTGGGTGGAAGGACAGACAAGAGTCAGTGTTGAGGTTTAGGAAGACGGCAGCCATGTTTATTATTGTTGGGGAATAATTGGTCTAAATGGTACCAGTTGATGGTAAACACGTAACAGAACGCACACGGGACCGACTGGCCGATGTAACAGACCCGCTCTATCACTGACATGCAAAAGTCGGACTGCGATTCGTCGACGTAGTCGTTCATCTGGGCATCGCCTTGGCTCGATACCGTCTCTCCGACTGACCATGTCAGTCAGGTTTTATAGATAGATATATTATGCCATGTGGTGCAAGGTCACTGACCTATGCAGATGTACATACGTTAGATCCGCTGACGTAAGGAGGTGTTAATTGATATTTACATATATGATTGAAAAGTAAGGGTCCTCCCATGGTGGGGGGTTATGATAACAGCTAATATACCGGATGTATGCTGAATGCATTTTCAGACAAAGGAAATAGATTTTCGGTGCACACTCCATGCTCATAAGACTCTCACGTCGGTGTAGCAAGTCGCACTACACTTGATCGCGGACAACCTTGGTCCCCTTCGCTAACAATGGCAAGCGCCAGTGGGTGGCACTCATACATGCTAATACAGGTCAATTGTCAGGTCGGTGCTCAACTTATCCTTGTTTGCCAGTAGGTCGTTTGAGGTTTTAAAGAAACCTATTGAACTGGTTTGCACAATGACATGATTGTGGACGCTCTGTAGCATGACAACAGCAATCAGTTACACAAGTGTACGTACATGCCGTTGATTGAAACACGACGTCAACATTAACAAAGCAGTGAGATACAGGCAGCCTGGAATACGCACAGGATACAACAGCCACCATTTCCGACAAAACATGATCCTATAAACTTACCGTATTATGTTTCCAGAAGATATTCACCAATTTAGAACCCAACCCACTCACTCACTCCACTCAACTCAACCCAACCCCTTTCTTCGGGTCAACCGGGACGGTGGGGTAGTCTAGTGGTTAAAGCGTTCGCTCATCACGCCGAAGACCCGGGTTCGATTCTCCACATGGATTCAATGTGTGAAGCCCATTTCTGGTGTCCCCCGCCGTTATTGCTGTAATATTGCTAAAAACGGCGTAAAACTAAACTCACTCAACCTGACAGCACAGCTGATTTATTTCTTGTGTAAATCACCAAATTAACTCCGAAAGGTTCACAAGAGCAGAGAATAATCACCGCCTCAACATGCAACAATAGGTTCGAGATCAATTGGTAAAGATAACAAATCGTTTCCCCGAACTACTCCCCGCTGATGTCGTTAACCAGGAGTGTTTGACTTCCCCATGTGATTTATCGCCAGGATTACTCTTCATTCACCAATAGACCCTATGGTAAATAGTCCAGCCTGATAATGTACTGCCGGCTTAGGGGTCGTAATGAATTGTTTATGTTGCATGGCAACTGAAATAATAACGCTGAAGTGATTTCCTATCGCTCCCTATAAACCAGGACGCAAATGCTCAGCATTGAAGGACGTCGAGACGGCGCCGGTTGTTCGTGAGATATTGGTGATTACGTTCAATAAGAACAGTGTTTTCGAGACGTACATTTCCCCTTTGTTTATTTTGCTAATTATGAATGTCGATATCGTTTATGTGACGGAAAAGTTCGTTTACAGACACGCGTCTCTCGACATATGCTGTCGATTATAACCTAATACTGCTTGTTTTATTACATTCTAGAAAATTACATTTTTTGTAAAAATATAGTGATATTCATTTTTATTAAATCACCCTTAGGGACCATGTACTTTTTTGTGAGTGGCTCTTTTTGTTACTAGTTCTCCAGCCAACATCGTCTGTCATCCACATTGGTCACAAGCACTCTGGTACTCTTGTTTTTAGTGTCATTGAGTATGGTTTTACTCGCCTATCTGGCCAATTCCAAAAATATTATAGTGAGTGAGTGAATATGGTTTTACGTTCCTTTTAGCAATATTCCCGCAATATCACGGCGGGGGGCACCAGGAATGGCCTTCACGCATTGTATCCATTCGGGATTCAAACCCGTCATCGGCTTGACGAGTGAACGCTTTAACCACTGAGCTAAGCCACACTTGGTGACTCTCTGGTTCTCGCTCTCAGGAATTGACTCAACCGTTGATAGTCATCTGCTAACCTGACTCCTAAAGACCCTATTATACCTTGTTAACTGCCCTGATATGGCGAATATATTGCTGAATGTAGCATAAAACCCCATTCACTCACTCACTCACTCACTCTATCGCTAATGACCCATCACAGACATTATGAGTATTTTACCGTATGTTATATTCGTGGTCTCTGCTCAGTCAACCATCCTCACTCCGACCCCAAGTAATTGATGCTGATAGACGCCTGGTCTCTGTTTCCCTGTTTCGTGACCAGTGCTTCACACCCAGTTTGCTTGGCCAGGTCACTATTGAATAGAGTGGCAATTAATCGAAGCCAGGCAATTTCCGGACAACGTCTAGTTCAGCTGTGGTCAGCGTCTAAAGTATCATATTCCATAGTCTATAATGCTTGGCGAGAAATCACGACTGGGTACATGAATGGCGAGTTATGAGGCCTACAGCGGTAAAAGCAACTCAAGTAGACGAGAGAGGTCCCAGTGCCCGATGTTTTATTGCTTTAGTGGTCATTTTGGCTTTTGTTGTCAATTCCATGCTTTAAACAATTTATGTGAGGTCTTACACAATTACAGAAACAATTGTTGTCGACAATTCTCATTTTATTTTTGTAAACATGAAAAGGTTGGGTTTTTTCTTCAAATTGTATATTCGCTGAGTTTCCGGTTTTTTTGTAATATTGTTTTGTATCAGATTAGTAGACCCAGTCAAATGGGGCGTTACAGTTGGTTTTGCAGAGTTATCTCCCTTGGGCCTGTCAGAAACGCATCGTCGTGTGTTCGAACCGGGTTCACAGAGATGTTGTTGCTAGAGTCCTCACCTCCATCTCGTGGGCTTCACTAGAGAGATAAACGTCTGGGACCTGCATCACTTGGGGATTTCCAATCACAACAATCTGACACGCCAAATTCAATAAACCAATCATTTCGTCTCAGATCACGCATGGTTCCACAACATTTACCATACTTTTACGGCAATGACAAGAGTGTTATAACTTTTCACAAATTGTCGATGATACCATGACCCTGGGCCCGAAGTACATATCTACAAAACAAATAAAATATAATAAGCGTTGAGTCCAGAACAATGCTAAAATTCTGCTCAGGCAGTCTGGAACACAGACCCTCGTGTCTTTGTGAGGATTAAAGTTTAATTATATTTTTTAGATGACCCCCGACTCGACATGCTTCACAGTACAATACATCATGAGTTATTGTACCGTGAAGCATTTCGAGTCGGGGGTCATCTCAAGAGTTGTTGTTTTTTTTCTAAATCTCGCAAAGACACGAGAGCCTGTGGTCTGGAAGTGCAAAATCATTCACGACACATTCGTTTCGGATTCATTTCGTAATTTATTCCCAAGGATCTGGCAGACAGTCTACTTCTATCATGTAGGTTACAGCCATTATTTCTTGATCCTAAATAAGAATAAATAGTGACATACAAAGTTATTCATCTCCATGCGATTTTCCAGTTTCGAATTTATTTGTAGTTATATTTCCAACGTGTAATTTTAAGGCGGTGGGGTAGCCTAGTGGTTAAAGCGTTCGCTCTTCCCACCGAAGACCCAGGTTCGATTCCCCACAATCTGTTTTCTAAAACGAATCAGTTATCTAAACTATGGAACACATTCTCAGCGTCTTACGCCGTTCTGAGAAAAAAGATGCATTATCCCATTACCACAGTAGATGCTGCTCTCTATATCATATGTGTCTGTACGTTCAAAATCACAATGTGTCACTTTTGGGAGGGAACCGCCCTGGCATGCATGGCACCACAATTCCCTGTTCAGGGGAACCGGGAACCGGTTCACAGTTTTTCCAGGTTACGTTCCATTTGGAACTTTGTGTCCAGTTGAAGCCTATTTCTGACTGACATGTTGTGTTTTCCAGGATTCGAGATGGCGATAATCCCGTCCCACAGCCCAATGTTTGCACTGGTCAACACCAAGTTCACTCTCACGTGCGAGGTGACCGACCTACCGAAGAAGGCAACTATTGAAATTGAGTCGAACTACGGGGATCCTAAGCTTCAGAATTTTTACGTGGAGGAAAAGGCTGACGTTGTGGACAACAAGCAGGTGACGTCGAAGACGATCACGAAGGATTCAGTGGAGATGGGCGACACAGGAGCCTACTGGTGTAAAGCCAACTCCAAGGAGAAGTCGGTGAATCTGGTTGTCATTAGAGGTGAGTCATTTCTCAACTTTACAGTTATATTTTAAGTCATAGTCGGATCCAGAGGGGAGGTGCAGGGGTGCGCAACCCCCTTTTGTCCTGAAAGTTTATTAAATGACCATTGAAGCTCTAGTGAAAACGGGTGTAAATAAGCTGTGCACCCCGCTTTCTGAACTGTGTGCGCGCACGCGCACGCGCACATCACCCTTTCTCAAAATATTCAAGTATATTTCTTCAAGTATTCCCTGTACCCAAGGCGTTGTGGTCGGGGGAGACTGACGAGTAGTTTATGGATCTGCACCCCCGGTTAAAAGAAATTCTTTCCTGATAATGTTTAATAACTACGATTGTAGGCTAATGTGTTCACGCTAAAATTGTGCATGCAGGGCAGTTAAACCACGGGACAAGCAAACTGGTTACTGACTACAGCCAATTGACCACAGTTACTGTAACTTCACATACACAGAACTAAGGTGTCGTGTCTGTGGTTTCACTAGATAGTACTGATTGACTGACTGACTGAGTTTGGTTTTACGCCGCTTTTAGCAATATTCCAGCAACATCACGGCGGGGTACACCAGAAATGGGCTTCACACATTGTACCCATGTGGGGATTCGAACCCGGGTCTTCGGCGTGACGAGCCAACGCTTTAACCACTAGGCTACCCCACCGCCCCCACTAGATAGTAGGCAGGGACAGTGGGAATCTCGTTAATCTATTCATGCGCGTCACTATTATAATGGATGACGAGGCATTTGGCTACCTTTAGACCCGGGTTAGAATTGATGTTCTGCAACCCTGGCGACGGAGTGGTTGACACATGTCATCGTACCCAAATTACGTAGATACAAGCTCATGATGTTGATCACTGGATTGTAGGGGTGGGTATTGAAGAGAATTTTCATATTGCGATATATTGCGATGCGAAAGCATGTATTGCGATATTTAGTGCAATATATTGCATGAAGTATTTTACACAAAAAACTACTTATAATCGAGGTAATGCTTGATTTATAGAGCAAATACACAGCAAAATCACTATGCTTGATTAAGCTTTAATAACAACTTTTATTCATGATTAAAAATAAAAATGTGAATAATATAAAAAAGGAAATATCCGAAGATTTCCGAGTGTTACGAAGTTTTCCGAATGCAAGTCAAAATACCGGTTTTCGATCAGCGTATCGCAATACGTATCGTTTTCATGTCTGAACCGGTAAATACCGGTAAACCGGTTATATTGTGCAGCCCTACTGGATTGCCTGGCCATATTCGATTATTTACATATAGCTGGAATATTGCTGAGTGCAGCGTTAAACAACAATCCAACCAACCAAGATCAATTACTTACGTACATCATGGCCATAATATGTATAATTGACAGTGTGGTGTTGGGGAAGGCCTTTTAACTTTTCCATATTTTTGCTTCCATGTATGTTACACTCTCTCGTCCCCCGAATTTCTTCCCATGTACCTGAATCGTTGACAAAAAGTATTCTTTAAAGCAAGAACAATAAAGGCTGGCAAAACTACACATCGCTAAATTTCTCAAAAGGGGCATCACTGATGTGTTTCACGTAGCCACCAAAGTCAGAACATGGGTCGTAAAAGATAAACATTTTATATGACGAGGCGGTAGGTTCGAGTCGACGGTGTTGGAATATAGAAGAAAGTTGTTTGTTTGTTTGTGTTTTGTGTGTGTGTGCGGGCAATAAAATTAGAAGGGTCGGTCGGGCGATGAGAAACACAGAAAATAAAAATGTTGCCCAAGACGTGATGATTATGATTCAGACCTTGTGATTCAGAATATCATAGTGTGGGCCGTTTTATGATGTCCGACCTGTTAGAAGGAAGTAAATTGATGATGTACGGTCGACTGCGTGACACGGTCATCATGAAGATCTCATAAACACTGTCAAAATACATGGTAGGACTTCCTGGGAGTAAAGGTAGTAGGACATGATTTAACTTCATGGTTATACTACAATACAGTTAAACCTTGGATTGGACACACCTGATCATGTGGCGTCTGAGAAGACTCAGAATGGGGAAGTATTAAACGTCCGGGGGACACGTTAACGTGAACATCCCATGTAGACCCCCAGTAGATATCTAGCCTCATATAACTTGGGACTTACTCCGCCATTGATGTTCCCCCTGAGCTGGGTTAATTCTGTATAGTCTGGTGCTTCCTATCTATGTGTTATTGTAATTCGTCCATGTGTGACACCGAGGCGTTGTTCCTTGATGTGAGTTTGCCCCGCTTTTAGCAATATTTCAGCAGTATCGGGACGGGGACACCAGTAATGGGCTTCTCACATTGTACACTTTGTGGAATCGAACCACGGTCTTTGGTGTTGCAAGCGAACCACTAACTACCACACTGCACCTTGTAATTACGATGAACAGAATCTGAATGATCAAACACACATAAATAAAACATCATAAATATCAGTTTGTATGTAAGTTTTTCTTGAATAAAAAAATGCAGCTGTCGTCTGCTTTAGGCCTGGTGACCCATCCTTTTCAAATGATACAGAAGGCCAGTCTGAAGAGTAAAGTTAGTGAGTGAGTTTAGTTTTACGCCGCACTCAGCAATATTCCAGCTATATGGCGGCGGTGTGTAAATAATCGAGTCCAGACCAGACAATCCAGTGATCAACAGCATGAGCATCGATCTGCGCAATTGGGAACCGATGACATGTGTCAACCAAGTCAGGGAGCCTGACCACCCGATCCCGTTAGTCGCCTCTTACGACAAGCATGGGTTACTGAAGAGCGTAAGATCTATTTGAGCAACGGAGCACTGGCTGACATGACAACAGGGGTGGTGATTTCAACTTTCCAACAAACAACTTTGACTTTATTCCCTGCTTCAGAAGTTGTTATTCAAGATCAAGGCCTCAGTAAACTTTCAAAATGTTTTAGATAGATATGGGGAGGACAAACATGTCCGTTTTGCCTTGTACCACACATTCCCGATAATTGCGGGTGAACAATTGACTAGCCTTTGCATGTGTTTATGGCCACCGATCGGGCATGATACGCTCACTATTGCGCGAACACCTGGTATCATTACTAAACTAACGGGCAAAAGAAACAATACCAAGTCGAAATCACTGATATACTCATGGAAGCGAATAAGGGAACACATGAAAGTTAATTTATTTCCAGTATTTCAACCACGGTGCAATACCTACCTGGAAAAGAATAAAGAAACACTTGTACTTCCATGTGTTCCATTATTTGTTTCCATGAGTATATTACAAAACGACAAACCACCATTGTGACAATGCAAAGTGACTGACTGACTGACTGAGTTTGGTTTTACGCCGCTTTTAGCAATATTCCAGCAACATCACGGCGGGGGACACCAAAAATGGGCTTCACACATTGTACCCACGTGGGGATTCGAGGAAAGTGAATTTTAATAATAGGTGTATGGGCAACATGTAATATCAGTGATTTCGACTTGGTATCGTTTCTTTTGCACGTTAGTATATTTGATAGCGATTCACCTGTAGTGATCACCTGAAGTCGATATCGTGGCAGAGGAATCCTGTGGATAGGGAAAGGGGTCATTGTCCGACGAGAAAACAGACTCCAGTCAGGATGAAGCTCCAACGTCGTGTCGTTGCCTGTCAAGGTAGTTGGATGATCGTGACAGCGTCCAGGTAGGTCCAGGTAGGTCCCGGGCTTTCGTCAGCAGAATATCAGTGGAGCACCAGCATAATGAGGTACGCCATGACAACACACAGAGGCGCTGTAATGCAACTTAACAGATGCCAAATAGCTCTGGAAACATACCTAGTGACTGGTCGGACAGGGAGGCGGGCGGGAATTAACTCTCACTTCCTGGGCTGTGGATGTAAAAGAGCCATGAAAAGGAAATTCCGGAAGCGGAACCAACATTTCCCATCACGACTGACTGAGCTGCTTATTTCTCGGGAAGAGTTACGTGACGTCAAACTAACACGATGCCCGAAACGGCATACCTCACACCTGGACTGACTGAGCTGCTTATTTCTCGGGATGAGTTACGTGACGTGAAACTAACACGATGCCCGAAACGGCATACCTCGCATCTGAACAGGACTCCTGATCTGCTGATGTCCCACAGACCCATAATACTCCCTCAGATGAATTCCCTCCATCATACAGACCCTTGTTTCCTCTCAGGCCTTCTCATTCTCCACAATCGTAGAGACCCTCTATTCTATTAGATGTGTAGATTTTCCACAATGGTAGAGGTCATTTATTCCCTTAGACCTGCTGAATTCCCAAAATGGTAGACGTCCATTACGCCCTTAGATCTTCTGAATTCCCAAAATGGTAGATTCCCATGAAAACTATATATAGGTAGACAAGAAACAATGTAATATGATCAGTTGACTGATTTGTTTTAAATGCAGATACATGCTGAGGGATATTAACGATGATATAGATGATTAAATGATGATGATATAGATATTTAAACTTAATATCCAAACTATTATAAGAGACGGGAATTATATACGCGCTTTACTATATGTACATGTTAATGTAACGACCATGTATATGTGCCAGAGGACTTCATACAACACACTTAGCCTGACGTCATACATTCTCCAGAGATTTGAAAGTAAAGGGGCGGTGGGGTAGCCTAGTGGTTAAAGCGTCCGCTCGTCACGCCGAAGACCCGGGTTCGATTCCCCACATGGGCACAATGTGTGAAGCCTATTTCTGGTTTCCCCCGCCGTGATTTTGCTGGAATATTGCTAAAAGCGGCGTAAATCCATACTCAATCACTCATTTGAATGTAAGACCAGTCCCAAGACTCATTTCATCCTCGATAATCTCCAGGGCATACGTTCCGATGAATCTCCACTAGTACCCTGGAGATTATCGAGGATGGACTCATTTGTCAGTGAATGTTTCTTGTTTTATGCCGCACTCAGAAACATCCCAGCTAGGTTACGGCGGTTTTTCAAAATTGGCAAAGAACCAAAACATCCAATGATTGCTCCCATGA